TTAGTTCTTTCCATTCGTAAAATACGCGTCATCGACAGCCACGTGTGCGTCGATTTCTCTACACACACTCTCTCTCTTACTTGCACATATACACACACTCACGTGCCTGAAGGATGCAAATAAATACCTGCGGGCTCGTAAATAAGCCCCGATAAGCTTGCGCAAGAAACTAGATTTCGGCTGCTCATTATTTTCAACAACTTTCACCGTCCAACAGCTTCCTAATGTGCGGGCCACCAAAATTGCCACTCTAAAAATCGATTCACTCTTGCTCAATACCCGCACAACACATTCGCCGCTTAATTAAACGCCAAGGAAAAAAAATGATCGCGCACATTGCGCTAATTGGAATGGTTCTTCCAACTCTGGGAACCGTTTTGCAAATAAAGATCCGCGATTTATCGTGACGAATCGCTTCTCAAATCGATTCTTTTTAACTGTGGGATTTTAGCCATCCTCTTTTACTCCTTCTTTGTTAATGATGACAACATTGATCACCTTAAAAGGAAGTCTTTCCGAAATCGTTATTATAATCACTCTAATTATTGATGGTCGAGTGGCTTATTACGGTTATTTAATCTATTCTTAGAATTGACGTCGATCGGGATATGAATATCTTATGAAACGGTCTGAAATCGACAACACCGTTGACGATTGCGATAAAAGCCGTCGTCAGCCGCGGTTGGTTTTGAACGCAATGAAAGTATCAGAGCACGTTGAATGTTAATGCGCCCCTTGTCGATGATGCAAGAATTGAAGACGTTCACTACACGCATCATTTTATTTATCAGAAGAGTTTTGTCCTTCCTCTTTCTCGATTCTTGCAAATGCAAACGTTAAAAGTAGTCACGTAAAAATCAACATCTTCGCCGGATCAATTAGGCCCGTCATCGTCATTACTAATAGCCTTAATGGATTTTTAGCGGATGCTTTTAGCGTGTAATTTTTTTTGTGTGGAAAGTGATGGTGTTACAGAAACTTTCGTATTATTTAATTTCTATAATTAAGGTTTTCGATAAGTTAATTACATATATTTCCTTATAATTAGTATAATTACTTAAAATTGTTGAAAATAATCAATCATTATTTGTTAACTCTTCTTCTAATTTTAGTTAGAAATCTTGTATTAGGTCTAATGTTAGTTTTACGTACCATTCAAAAATTGAATTAGTCTCAAGTCTCCCCACTTTGTTATATCCAACCAATTTCTGTTTTTTAGCAACAAATTGTTTATGGCACTAACTCCGTATTCAACTAAATATGAAGATGTAAACGGCAACAATAGTTCTCTTGTGCATTTAGTTGCATTTGGCTGTTTAATTTCGGTTTCTTCACAAAGCCATGCTTTCCTTTTCGCTCCTTTTATATTAAAAAAAAGTTTTAATTGACTCATCATTCTGCATTTCTGCGAGTTCTTCTTGATGCTGCATATTTGAAATGCTAGAGAAATCTACCAAGGTTCCATCCAGGTTGGAAAATGCATTTGTTTTAAATCCGCCGATAAAATTTTCAGATGATGGACAATAACATTTATAAGATTTTATATTGTATTATTCATTTATATTAGATTTATTGGTATTATTTCGTTTATTTAGTCTAGTATGAAATGTATCGAGCCAACGAGTTTAGGGTTTTTTATTGTATTATTTTGTTTGTTTGGTTAAGTGTTGAAATGCGTTGAGCTGTTTATATTTAAGTTTTTGGGTAAGGATTTTGGGTATAATTCCAATTGGTTATGATCCTTTGCATTCACAAGAGTTTTATTTGTTCCTTGAGTTCATTATTTAACCCTTTTTGTCCCGACGGTACTTTAAAGTACCGGTAGTTTTAAACACTCATTTTAAATCATTTTAAAAAGAAAGCATTGAGCTTTAATTTAAAATAAGTCTCATTCCTTAATTTCAATAAACACGGCTTCCAGGAATTTTCAAACTAGCATCTTTTTTGGCACTTTTAGGTTATACGAAAATGTAAGTTTTATTTCAACGTTTCTTTTCTCAATATTTTTCCAATCCAACCCAACAATTATTATACATCATTTTAAAGAGAAAGCTTTGAGCTTTAATTTAGAATAAGTCTCATTCCTTAATTTCAATAAATACGGCTTCCAGGAATTTTTAAATTAGCATCTTTTTTGACACTTTTAGGTTATACGAAAATGTAAGTTTTGTTTCAACATTTTTTTTCTCAATATTTTTCCAATCCAACCCAACAATTATTATACATCATTTTAAAGAGAAAGCTTTGAGCTTTAATTTAGAACAAGTTTCATTCCTTAATTTCAATAAACACAGCTTCCAGCAATTTTTAAATTAGCAACTTTTTTAACACTTTTAAGTTATACGAAAATGTAACTTTTGTTTCAACATTTCTTTTCTCAATATTTTTCCAATCCAACCCAACAATTATTATACATCATTTTAAAGAGAATGCCTTGAGCTTTAATTTACAATAAGTTTCATTCCTTAATTTCAATAAACACAGCTGCTAGGAATATTTAGATTAGCATCTTTTTTGACACTTTTAGGTTATACGAAAATGTAAGTTTTACTTCAACATTTCTTTTCTCAATATTTTTGCAATCCAACCCAACAATTATTATACATTATTTTAACGAGAATGCCTTGAGCTTTAATTTACAATAAGTTTCATTCCTTAATTTCAATAAACACAGCTGCTAGGAATATTTAGATTAGCATCATTTTTGACACTTTTAGGTTATACGAAAATGTAAGCTTTATTTCAACATTTCTGTTCTCAATATTTTTCAATCCAACCCAACAATTATTATACATCATTAAAAAAAAAAGCTTTGAGCTTTAATTTAAAATAAGTTTCATTCATTAATTTCAATAAATACAGCTTCCAGGAATTTTTAAATTAGCATATATTTTGACAATTTGAGGTTATACGAAAATGTAAGTTTTGCTTCAACATTTTTTTTCTTAATATTTTCCCAATCCAACCCAACAATTATTATACATCATTTTAAAGAGAAAGCTTTGAGCTTTAATTTAGAATAAGTTCCATTCCTTAATTTCAATAAATACGGCTTCCAGCAATTTTTAAATTAGCATATATTTTGACAATTTTAGGTTATACGAAAATGTAAGTTTTGTTTCAACATTTCTTTTCTCAATATTTTTTCAATCCAACCCAACAATTATTATACATCATTTTAAAGAGAAAGCTTTGAGCTTTAATTTAGAATAAGTTTTATCCCTTAATTTCAATAAATACGGCTTTCAGGAATTTTTAAATTAGCATCGTTTTTGACACTTTTAGCTTATACCAAAATGAAAGTTTTATTTCAACATTTTTTTTCTCAATATTTTTCCAATCGAACCCAACAATTATTATACATCATTTTAAAGAGAAAGCTTTGAACTTTAATTTAGAATAAATTTCATTCCTTAATTTCAATAAACACAGCTTCCAGGAATTTTTAAATTAGCATCTTTTTTGACGTTTTTAGGTTATACCAAAATGTAAGTTTAATTTCAACATTTTTTTTCTACACATTTTTCTGATCCAACATAACCATTATTATACATCATTTTAAAGAGAAAGCATTGAGCTTTAATTTAGAATAAGTCTCATTCCTTAATTTCAATAAATACGGCATCCAGGAATTTTTAAATTAGCATCTTTTTTAACATTTTTAGGTTACACAAAAATGTTAGTTTTAACTCAATACTCAACCCAACGATTATTATACATCGATTTAAACAGAAAACTTTAGGCTTCAATTTAAAATAAGTTTCATTTTTTAATTTCAATAAACTCGGCTTCCAGGAATTTTTGAATTAGCATCTTTTTTGACACTTAGATTGATAAGAGATGCGAAAATGTTAGTTTTTTCTCAATATTCTATCAGATTTTCGTCGTTCTGTAGCTACAGGTCTGATAAATAAATATTCAAATTTACTGCGTCCACGAAAATGTCGTAGCGCAAGTTCAAAAGAAAGAGGAAATTGTGAAAATTGTTCTGCCAAAGGTAGACCCTACTCAAAATGTACTGCGTGCAATGTTTATTTATGTTGTAATGAAAGAAAGATCTGTTTTTCTGAATATCATAATGTTATTTAGCTCAAGCAAGTTAAAACATCTCATGTTTCAAAGATCCGTTAACAGATTTTTCTTTTATTTCAGGTTTTTTCGCTTAAAAATTCACTGAGGGTATCAAACAGTTCCATACATCTCTTCGACAGCCATCTTACTTCAGTGTGAAGTATAAGTCTCACATAGTCTTCGTTTTATTCTTTACAAAATAACTTGAAGAGGTACTTTCAGATTTAACAGCGTTGATACACTTTATAACTGAATTTAATATTCAATTAAAACCAGACGAAACTACAAGCATTTCTGGATTTTCATCTCTCATCAATTTTAGATAACTATTTTTCTTCCCCATTATATTAGGAGCACCATCTGCAGCACAAGATGTTATATTCAGCAAAATCACAGCAGAACAACATTTTTTCATCAAAATCACCTTTATCAATATATCTTACATAAGTCAAAACTACGGCCTCACTATCTTTCAAACTTGATTAATCTATTTCCGGGGACAATGTTCTTGTTTTCAGCTTTTCAATAAGTTGCATTTCAATATTTTCACTCATTTCGTCTATTTTTCTACTAACAGTATTGTTTTTTAGTGGCATAGCTTTATCATCTTTATCATCATTTTCCATAACCGTTTTGAGAAATGCTGACATCAAGGGTTTGATTACATTCTCCCCTATGGTATGATTTTTCCCCGATTTAGCGATGAATAATGAAATTTGACAACTAGCCTCAAGAGTACGATTGACAGTTCTGACCAGCAATAAAGTACCAGCCAAGTAGGATAGCTTAATACAAATCGAATTTGGAGTTTCTATCTTGAAATTTAGACGTCAAAAATGCCTAAACCAGAAGCGATGGTATATTATTTTGGTACCCTATATTAATTTTCGAAAGCTCCTTAGGTAATTTTTAGTTAAAAAATTCAATTATTAAATTAGATTATAATACGATGTATTTATATGTACAGATCCCTTCTAATTACCTTAGACGATAACATTTAAGACATAAAACAGTATTCTTGTCCAATTTCAAAGTTTTCAAGTATTTATATAGTGTTCGAAGTAATCTACACCTGAAAATTTTTTTTTATTTTAAACATTTATTTTATATAAAATGTCTTTTGAAGTTTTTGCAAAAAATTTCCTGTACACGCATCATTATAAAAATCACCTGCACGAGCTTGAAGTCCGCTAAAATTTTTATACACCACCCCTTTGTGAATGCACGTCGATCTTTCCAGTAGAGTGAAAAAAACTGAAAAATATTCTTAATTTACTAAAAGAGTTTAAAATGTTACCTTGATAGTTGTACATAAATACATCGCCGTATCCAGAAATAAGAATATCCATACGATCACAATAAAAACAACTTCCCTTTGATTAGAACTTGCACAACCCATCACAAAAACATTTCAAACTTGACATATTTATTTTCTATACGACGTCGAGATCAAGTCGTTTCAAACCAATATTAATAAATTACCAAGGTAAAAAATTAATAACAATAAATTTGAAACTGTTATTGTATGGTTTTAGAGTAGAAAACACATTATGCATATCCATCTCTCTCTTTTTGTAAGATCTATTGTAGTGCGTTTTCCACATAACCAACCAAAATAGATCGCATTTGCTCGGCAATTTATTTTCTCCGCCCAGGGCTAGTATACACTGGCAGAGATAAACAACGTTGAAGCTCGAAACGTTGGCGTCACTCCTTAATTGCGTCCAACGTCGTCTTGGTCGCTACTGCGCCACCCCACAAATCTTCGAAACGACGTGACGACGCTAGTGTAAAGCTTTGAGTTTTGAAGATGAAAGCTTACCCATTGAGTCGCAAGCTTTATTAAAAGAACAATCGATTCACTGCGTCAAGAGTTACGAGTGTGGTCTTGTGGAAATTTATTTAGCACTCGGAGCTCCTTTCTTTTTGAATATTTCACAGGACATAACCGTTAAAAGGCGCTTTTTAAGGACAATATTAAAAACGTGCTTCGTGGAAGCACGCGAGAGTAACGGGGCTTCGAGCGCAAAAAGCTCGTAAATGCTTCTCGGTGATTTATAAGGAAATTTTGTGTATAAAGTTAACCACACGAGAACAGAATAAAGGGATAAATACAAGATAATTTTAGATTTGAACTGGTAATTGGCGGTTGGTAAAATTTCGTTTCCTGCCATTCGCAATCGGACGGAAAGTATAATTACGCCTTTAACACTACCCACAATAAATTAATACACGTATTAACATTTACGCAGAACTATCTCGAATTGCAATCTACGAAATTTATTACTTATTGAGTAAATCAATTTCACATCGTTTTTATTTTGGGAACGCTAATAATAAAATTTGCAACCCAAAATCGTGTAATTTCGCCAATTAAATGTTATTAATTATTAATTGCTTGTCGGAATGATCATCGAGATGGGGCTTTTAAGTATTTTTATGTCGTCAGTAAGTGGAGGCTGGACGTAAGTATTTGCAAAAAATTGCTTTAAGTGGTTTACGCCGCTGCGGTGTGGCGTAATTGAACACAAATTTGATTGTTGTTTCGTAACCATAATTTTTTATTCAATCCTTCTACTCGCAAATAAACAACAGAAAAGCCAATAACCTTTCTCGTGATTATATAAATATAATAATGTACATTTTGTTTTATTACTACGATCGTTTAGCATCAAATATCAAAGTTATTAGAATAACTGTCATTATTTGGTTAAGTCGTAGTTTCCGAGCTTTCCGCTGCGAGGCGCAATGTCTCGTCTTCGCTGTTGTTTGTAAACATCGCGACCGGCAACTGTTTCTCTCAGGGTATCCTAGCAACGTAATCGCGCATCATACATATTAATGAATACCGCCTGGCGGGTGCAACGGGGCATGCGGGCTCATGATACGCGGCCTCCAGCGCCTCGTAGCGGTTGCATTACGTAAGTAAATAATATGTACATCGGAGATTCCTTGTGTAGTGTATACCCGGTCGATTATTGACGTAACCGTTACGTCACTGGCGAAAACATGGCGTCGTCATGGCGACTGTGTCGGCGCCTATCGAGACGCCTTCATACTACCCGCTGGCGTCGTCGTCAGTCCTGACGTCGTCGCGACGACTTAGCTTTCTCCAAATTGTCTTCGTCTCATACATTTCGTCTTGTACTACCAACATACACAAAGAAAGTTGAAGATTTTATCTTAAAATTAAATATTTTTGTAAAATTTGGCAATAGAATGGAATATTTTCTGGAATTATTAGGCTCTTTAAAATATAATTTCCTGCCTCTATGTAACCCGCACAAAGTTAGGAATAAATTATGTTACGCAATATTAAAATACAATACAAATTAACCGCTGTAGTGTAACAACTTGAATTAAACGACTTGTTTTAAAAGTACTTAGTTGTTTTATTATTATAAAAATATCTTACACTCCATCTTATACATGTTGTCTCTCACATCTTCTAAGAGGACCGAGAGCCCTCTATCGACACACCACGACATCTATCTTAAAGTTAACTGACTAACGTACTACAGTAGAATAAACTTGAATACATTCAAAGGAAAATACCGTTTTAGCTTTATGGGTCTAAGCAAAATAAAAGTTTTCTCAAGAACTATTATTAATACCAAAAGTGATATTCATATTTTAAATCGAGGATTTTATAGTTTTTCTATATAGAAACTCCCCACTTTGGAACGGCACTTCTCCTAGATGAAGCATTTTGGAGAAAAACGGTTAACTTGATGAAAATCTGTAAGTTAGCTTTCTAATGTTACATCGAGTTATTGATTCAGAAGCTGTCGCAAAGGATGTCACGAGGAATCCGTACAACATTTTGGGGAAAATTTTTCAAAAATCTGTAACTTAGTTATTATATTGCCAAAGTTAAATTGTATGTTCTCATTGTATTCAGTAAATAATTCTACACATTTAAACATTAAAATACAGTAGATTCAAAAGCTCCATTATAGATACAGGGGATCAAAAAAGTTTCAATATACAGTGAAATTCCCCTAACTCGAACTAATTTTCGTAAGCTCAAGCGTTTGACTAGGCTTCAAATGTGTTTAAATATATTTCTCTAATTCGAATTTCCCATAACTCGAAGTTTTCTTCCGCTCCCATAGTGATTCGAGTTAGGAGAATTTCACTGTATGCAGAAGTTTTTCAACATTTAGCTCTAGATCAGCGTTTCCCAACCTTAGCCGTTCTAAAATTCTTATACCCCTCCTACATTACATTACATTACATAGAATACATATCGGGTAGGCGGACCAACCAACCTTGCACCGCGACCCTAAGGATCTATTGTACCCCGATAGATATCGTTATCAAATTTCACCGTGCAGTCCAATGCTCTTAACGAACATTAATACCTTGCTCGGCGAAAGGTCATTCAGATCTTTTGAGGAGATAAACTGCGACCCAAAAATCGAGAATCTGATACGGTTAACGGCAGGGCAGTGGCATAAAACATGCTCAACCGTCTCTGCTTCCTCCGCACATAGTCGGCATTCAACATCGTCGGCTAAACCCAACAAGTTGAGGTGTGCTTTTAATCGGCAGTGCCCAGTAAAAACACCCATTAGAACTTTTATGCTACTACGGGCAAGTCCTAAAATATTCCCGGGTTTGACAGTGGCGATGTTAATAAACACCTTAGCATGTCTCATTCCAGGAGAACTGGTCCACAGTAGGCGAAGTCTCTCTTCAGCCCACAGTCCAATCCTATATTTGGCCATCGCAAATGATACACCAACTGCTGGTTCCGGTCCCACAAACGCTTCAGCGCTGCCATCTCGTGCTAGCTTATCTGCCGCTTCATTGCCAGCAACCCCAGAGTGACCCGGGACCCAGATCAGAGAGACTCTGTTATCACAACTCAGTGTGTTTAATGTTCTCTTACAATCATTAACCAGAGCCGACACCGTTTTCACGGCTTGCAGCGCCTGGAGAGCGGCTTGACTGTCTGAGAAAATTCGTACTGTCATGTTCTTCACCCCTCTTTCAAGAAGGATTTTAGCACCCATGTCAATAGCAAATACTTCCGCCTGGAATACAGTACAGTACGTACCCAGGCTGTAGGCTTGCTTAATTCGAGGTGTCTGGCAGTATACTCCTGCTCCTACCCCTTCAGGCGTTTTTGATCCATCTGTGTACAAGCAAATGTCTGCCCGAACCAGAGAATTTTCATTTTCGATCCAGGACTGCCGCTCAGGCAGTACAATCTGGTATCGAGCATTAATCACTGATAGTGATACCGCCAAATCTGACGGCATTGATAGCACAGTATCAGTGCTTATAATGTCTTCCGCAGCCCATTGGTAGGACATGTCGGAACAGTTTTGAGCATATTGCTTAAATCTGTAAATGGTTGTTCTAGCCACTTTCTCTATATGCAAATGCAGAGGAGATAGGCCAAGCAGAACCTCCATTGCTAGAGTTGGCGTTGTGCCTATCGCACCAGAGATTGCCAATCCAGCTACTCGTTGAATTCGTGAAAGTTTACTGATAACTGAAGTCTGTCGGACTTTCCTATACCAGGCCGCTGCTCCGTATGTGATCATAGGTCTAACCACAGTCACATAGAGCCAGTACAGTCTTTCAGGGGTAAGACCCAATGTAACATACATAATTTTTAATATTAAAAAATTGAATTGTTCACTTAAGAAATTTAAATGATAGGTTTTAGGAAGAAATAACTAGGAAATTGTTAACGAAACACAGTAAGTAAATTTTCAAAACATATAATGAAAAACTGAAATTTAAATTCCAAATAATTTTAAAAAAGATTTTTCTATATTAATTTATTATTTTAATTTAGTGAGATCCTTGCGCTTGATGCTTGCTGCACAGAGATTTTATATTAGGTTCTAATTTGGTTAGCTTTAGTTTCAAGTCTCCACGTTGTGTTATATCCAGCCGATTTCTTTCTTTTACCAGTAAATCATTTACAGCACTAAATCCACATCCAGCTAAATATGAAGATGGAAACGACACCAATAGTTTTCTTGCATATTTGGTTGAATTTGGGCATTTGATTTCTGTTTCCTCACAAAGCCATGCCATCGCTTCTTTTATATTAAATAAAGGTTTAGCTGACTCATCATTTTGCAAATCTGCAAGTTCTTCTTGATACTGCATATTTGATATATCAGACAAATCCACTAACATTGGCTGCATCATCCATGTTGGAAAATCAATTTGTTTTAAATCAGAAAATCTTTCTTTTAAATCAGCCTATAGAATATTCAGATAATTGACAANCACCGATTTCCAATCCAGCTACTCGTTGAATTCGTGAAAGTTTACTGATAACTGAAGTCTGTCGGACTTTCCTATACCAGGCTGCTGCTCCGTATGTGATCATAGGTCTAACCACAGTCACATAGAGCCAGTACAGTCTTTCAGGGGTAAGACACAATGTAACATACATAATTT